CCGTGCTATACCCAGAGGGGTTTTGTGTGGTTAAAGTAGGCAATATGCCCAAGGCAACGTTTTATCCCAGGGAAAGGATACAGCTCACTCCGTACATTTTTGTTTTGCTTACTTATTTATTTATTTATTTATTTATTTAATGGTGAATATGATAATCAATCTCATGGAAAAAATATATATATGTGTGCATGAGATCATTACACGTCACAAAATAAACAGTTCAGTTCAGCGTAAACACACATTAATTTCACTTAGTATAACAGTGAATGTGATTATTTCTTGAGAACAAACGGAACGAATGAAATAATTTCGACGCTGAAAATTTGGTTCGTATTTGCGTATATGAAGTGAATTTCAAGTCGTGAAATATTCGCAGCGACATTCAATGCAGTTGAAATGTGTTCGACTTTTGCAAATTCGCTGTGCGCGCCAAAACTTGCAGTGAATTCACAACCTGGCAGTGACGTCACAACCTGGCGGTCACGTTCACTTCCGCGAGACCGCGACGAGTATGAACCGGCCATTGCGTAAACGACACTCGTCTGGTCCGTTCCCGAAGCGTGGGTTCGAACCCCGCCAGTGGCTCAGTTTTTCCAGCAAAGAGCGATATTAGAGAGAGTAAAGATGGTTACTGTCCATGGCAGGTGTTGTCTTAACCATCGGGGCTATTCCGACGGGTCACGAACATTTCAAGTCTGGAATGTTTTATTCAAATGTTTGCAGACTTCATTTTCTTTCCAATTTATGAAAACGAAATAAAGAGATCATTTTACAGTAAATGCATGGTTGGCAAGTTACAGGGGAAAAGAGTGATCAAATAGCCTTTTTATGGTGTTCCAACATAATGGAGCAACGTAGCGTTTTACAGCAAGTTGACTTCATGATGCAAGCATTGATCATCGTTACTGTTGATAGAAAGAAGTGATCCCTTTAATTAATCACGAATCCCCCGCATCCCGGACCTAAATCCCGGACTCTAACCTATAAGCATGTCACAGACGCGGCCTAAAATGCAGATGACGACTATATGACGTCAGAGATATGCACTGCAATCGTAGCATTGCTGATGAAAAAAAGATCGGCGAATCCTCTGACGATGGAACAGTGTACGGGGATCAGTGATAATATCCAAACTTCGAAAAAGATGAAAATATTCACACTTTCCAGATCGGTTCACCGTGTAAAAGAAGTGTATATAGTCGGAGAGTTGTGAATTCATCAGAATGAAGATACACTCTTAATCTTTCAGTTAAGACCATCCCTGAAATTCGATATATGAGTTCACTTTATAGAAAAGATTTCGTAAATTTCGTTTCTCACGATTTGTGAATTTTCCAAAACTATCGCAATACTTTCATTGCATCTATTTCTTCATAAGATCTCTTCTTGTTCTACTATACGGCAAATGAATTTATTTTTAATGGAAAAGAATATTTCTTTTCAGGGACACAAATTCATTTTGTATCATATTTCTTGAGGTATCGCATTTGTTGACAACATAACAAAATTAGAATTTGATGTTTGAAGAATTTTAGACAAATTCGCGATCCTTTCAGAAAACCACCATAAAGAGGTTTAGGATTAAAGGGAATATTCATGCAAAAAGACCCCTCTACACACAAAACTGTGTCACTGGTCTTCTTCTCACTTTAGTTGCCGCTTTATCCCCGAAAATTTCTCCAAATATATTCCAAATGAACCAATCCATTTGGACCGACATAACCGGTACTTTTAGATGTTAAACTTATCTGGATATGAGTTTTGATTTACCACGTGTCCAAAATCACACAAAGTCTATGAACTAAGGTCATATTTAGGTTTTCCTTTGTATAAGGTCATTTTATGAAATTGGTCCTTCTAAAGGTGTTCGTCAAAGCGAAAAATACCAATCAGCATAACCAATCTGAATTCACCTTGTTTACAAATAACTAACTATTTATTATTTCAAGTACATACATTTAGTTACTTTTCTATCGTTGTCATTCAAGGACAGATAATATGGCGTGACCGTCAGACTGATTGCTGGTCAGTGCTCGCTTGACCGCACAAGCTTTGATTGGAGTGGCGATTCAGCGGGCACCATCAAAAGACTGGCCGTAGTGGTCAGGCGGCTTCCCCTGTCGGCGTCCGGTGATAACTCTCCCCATGGGTGAATCTCAATGAATCGTCCTGAATTACTCAAATATAAAAAATTCACTCGCGTACTCACGCAGCCAGACAGCCTCCCACGAAAAAAAACAGAGGAACGTGTTGTACAGTTCAGACCGACAATGATGGATGGTTGTTGCGCTGCGCAGCGAGATCGTTAAAATGCAATTTGAAACCTTCGAGACTGAAATTAATTTTCGTGGGGGAACTGCCGTGTATATTGTGTGACCCTCTTGCAGTCGATTGTTTTGCAGGTTACTGTCTTTTCCCTTCTTCGGACAGGCTAGGTATCGAAACTTTTGCCCAGAATCAAATTTGACACTAGTGTCAGGAAGTGAATTCCTACATAACAATGTGTGTATTACATTGAAGAACGTCAGGTCGTTAACGAATTGGTTCCTGTTTGCTGGTTGATCGTCAATTCTAAACGAAGCTTGTTAGTTTCTAAATGTATGGAAGCACATCTGCTTTTTATATACTTAAATGTATAAAGTTGAAATGGAAAATGAGACAAAATAGGGATAAGCTATAACCTCTTTATATAGGCCTACGCAGAGCTTTATCTAAACTGGACAGGCCTGCGTGGTGACATTTCAAACAGCCACATTATCAAAAGAACGACATTGTAGAATTTTGAGATTTTGAGATTCAGTTGACATTGTAGAATTAAGTTTAAAGTTTGAGAACAGGCAGTTTTGTGGGGTTAAAATGAACAAGAAATTTGCTCTTGGGTTTTGGTTGAACAGGTATAGCTGTTACTAATGTTTCTGTTTCTTGTGTTTCGCGTTCATGTAGTTTTGTTGTTATCTAAATATGTTTCTTGTGAGAATGTTTCTTTTTGAACTACTGGTCGGAGAAGACTGCCGTCTTCCTTGTACGGCGCTTTGAAAACAGGGGATGTGAGTTAAAGGTGCCTAATATACCGAGGGACTCCAGCATCTCCCAAAAGGATGTTCATTTTTCATTTTAAAGATAAATCAATCACTCAAATGTTTTTCATACACGGTGCTGTTTTAGTTATCACTAAATAAACGGGCAAAGTGTTCCACGTATACTTGAAGTTTTTGCTTCATGCTTCGTCTGTGATCGGTGCCGGCCCATTAATTCCGGGTTTTATTTCAGTCTTAATGCGAAGAATTTGAAGGAAATGCAGTCAGTTGGCTTGACCTTTCTATAGATACACCATTTCAAAGGCTGATGTTAATGTCTCGGTACTTTCTTCTGTTTTTATTGCTAGTTAAATTTTAACTGGCTGCATTCGGGTCATTTTGGGGGTTGTAATTTACGACAATCTACCTCCCTCTGGGCTGGCTTCAATTCACGGGGCGCCGCCCGCGCACGGACTGACGAGGGAACCTACTCAACCACGGTCGATCATTTCCTCATCCGTGGTGGAGCTGTGGCTTGGTCAGGAGCCAAGATGGGGATACTGAGAGTTTTAAAGGTGTCAGAAGAAGAGACACGACCCTTGGGGTTGGGTGGCTTTAACTTATTAGAGAGAAAGCGGGCATGTCGGGAAAATTCCCCCGAACAATATTATGAACTGCTCATTGGATTCAATCCTCGCATGTTGTTTTTGCATCTCGGGTCGAACTTGAGAAAAACGGGCTCTTTTGCCCGATCGAGTTGCACATGAATAATAGGATTTTTGTTCATCTCGATAGTGTGCATACGGCAATCCGTCCAAGACTGACTGACCGACTGCCATTGATTGACTCTCGGTAGGTGTTATATACCGCCTGAACCTGCCTCACTGGGGTGTTGATGCTTTGCTTTCTGAGTGAGCCCTGCGTAAATTATAAAACAAACTACAGCATATTGGACCTGGGTAAGTCTGGAGGGAAAATGTGCATTTCTCCGGAAATTATGAAACACGGTTCACTGCTGTGATATCCAAATCAGAGCAAGGATCTGATGGCAGGCACAGGGGGCCGATGTTATATGAAACTTGGTCTCTTGTGGGATCCAGTCTCTCATAAAATATGGTCTGTTTTACCTTGTATTGACTCTAACCCTCACACGTGACCTGTCATTGTCCTAATTATCGTCACTTCAACCGAGGAGTCCGTATTTCATGGCAGTCCAAATCGTACTCTGCAGTCTGCATCGGGCCTTGTTTGAAAAACAAATTCACCGGCGAAAAATCCCATAAATACAGGGGCTCAACCGCCAGGGCCAAGCGGCGTTGTTTGGAGAGATTTGACCGGGTCTAGGTAGTTTGTTTTTGTTCGGTGTACCGCTCTGATGGATATTTATGATGAGAGGGGGGATCCAAGCCACCCCCCCCCCCCCAACATGCAAACGCACACACAATGAGTTAACAGCGCGGCAGGACTGTATTATCTCTTGTGACCCAGAAACGGCCGGGACAATATTTTTTACCGGCGCAAGATAAGAGATTGGCTTTCTTCCACCCCTGAAGTTGTCCTGTTATGATAATCGTAAAGAAATGTTAATGCACCAGGCTTTTCAAGGAGTGTTTTTTTTTGTCTAGTAACATGACTACACTAGCAGCAGGAGAAGAGTCAAAGGCACAAATTAGCCGCATCCGCCCATGTCTTGCCCGCGCTGACACCCCGTCACGTGACTTTCCATTTCCGCTCAGTTGCTCGATCCGTGAATGTTGTGCGCGCCAATAGAAATCGAGACTAGACGCCGACAGATGAGGCGGTAGCAGTTCCCGCCAAAATAACCCCACTCTTCACCAACAGGCGCATGCCGCACAGTAGCCCTAGGCGGTACCAGGGAATATACCGTATAGACCCAGGGCAACCTGCAGTAGTCCCTGGCCTGCTGGAGACGAGTTAAAAAATAAAACAGGTGTAATGCAATGAGATTCAGGTGACGCTGCGCCGCTCAGTCCCCTTCAGCTCTGTACCCTGGCTGCCCCGCACTGCCTCGTTAATATTGGCTCCCCGACTGAGAACTTGAATTCAGCCTCCCATGTCGCGTCGGTGAGTGAATGCCCGTCCACCGTCCCTCGCCCGTCAACAGAAAGAGAGAGAGACAAGGGAGATGGAAAAAAAATATCGAATTCCATCGCGGCACTGCGGTCCATCAACACGCACAACGACTGGCCATTAATAACGGAGAGCGCATTAGGCTAGGGGCCCAGTTCGTGCTGTGAGTGTGTGCCGTGAACACAATCCGCGGAGCTGAACCGTCGTCAGTGTATAGGCAAACCAGCACCGTACATGCACCGTGTTCTAGCGAGGCACACACCGTTCCGTCTGCACACACTCACGGCGCGCTGTGTCTTACCCGGCTCGCTGGTCATTACTGTATCCGCCAGGCAAGGCAATAGGCCCCGTGCTTTCGCGCCGTGCAGATGCAGCCTGCCTGGAACACACCCAGTATTCAACGACCTTGTGTATTAGTACAGCGCATGCCAGTAGGGTAACGGTGATGCGAACGAGACAGCTTGAGTGGGCTTGAAGAAAGCCAGTCACTGTACACACATACATTGACTCGACACGGGGAGACAGTGCGGTGACAAGTCACAGCTTGGTTCAGTCACCAACATCGTCTTCTTCTCCATTCCTTCATTGTTGTCAGTACATGAACGTTGTCATCCAAGATGGAGTTGTCTGAGATCGGCGAGAGAGTTTACGCCGTGGAATCGTTGCTCAATCGTAGAATTCGTGAGGCAAGTGAATTGAGTACCGTATAGTCTCGACCATATTGCGCGGCGGGTAATGTTTGCGTGTGGAGACTTTACCTACGTACAGGTCTACACATGCAGCGCGCGGTAATATCGAGCGCTGGGCCAATGTGGATTAAGTGTGGAATCTTATCCATTGCCCAGCGCGCTGCATAATGCGCTTCGCAAATGCACCGCCGTCAACCACTCACACGAATTCAACCAAATGTTCTTTTGTATTCCTCTCTTTTTTTGCCCTACAGGGAAAGCCTGAATATCTGGTCAAGTGGAAAGGCTGGTCTGCAAAGTGAGTATGACAATTCTGCCCAACAGTCGATGTATTTATCGTCTAGTTTGTATTCCTCGTTCATCGAGGGATATTTACTGGGCCAGAATTCGATAGGAAGGTCATAGCCGACCCAATTAATTCCCTTATCTCGTTTTCTTTCCCCACCCACTTCCTGGCAGGTACAGCACATGGGAACCAGAAGCAAATATCCTGGCCAAATGCCTGGTTGACGTGTTCGAGGACAGGTATGCAAACGCTGTGTATTTTATGCGCTGTTTTCCCCCGCTCGCAGCCCGCGCCCTTTTTTGCATACTGCGTGTGTACGTGCCCGTACATAATAAGTAGCAGGCCGTTCCAATATGGCAGGCAGTACGTGCTCACTACGCTAGTCCCGTTCATTGCAAATTTATTCTCAATTGTCGATCGTCCCTCACTGTTATACTATACTCTCTGTGTCCCGCTACAGGCGCAAAGAACTTGAGTCCACCGTGGTCAAGAAAGGCAGGAAACGAAAAAGGACGCACAATCAGGTGAGGTGGATATTTCGTTGCTTTCTCTCGCGACTGAACCGCCAAGTCCTACCCTGGAAAAAACCACGCCCTTCCCTACTCGAATCCCCCGTTACTGAAAGGCCAGAGTGTGTGGTAACACGATACGATTATGAATGCGGCGTGTGTGAATGCAGCTTTCTGTTCGTATTTCAGGTTCACTCCGGGGTCGGATTGTTGAGGAGTGCGGAACTTAAACCTGAGCCCAAAGACGAGGACGGCACGTTGGCAGCGGGTAACGCCTCAGCAGTACCGGGAGATGAGCCCAGAGCCACGGGGAACAAAGACCCGTCTGGCGCGGAGTGGACGGCCAATAGTACGGGCGGTAACTCCCAGGGTACGGGTGACGGTGGGAGCGGTGGTGAGAGCGAAACACGGACTGCAGCAGCAACTGTGGAAGATTCAACTGACGACGATGACGACGACGATGATGATGATGAACCACCCACTAAGAAAATATTCACATCAGCAGCCAGCGGACAAAAGGATCGTAGTCAGAGTTTGACCAATGGATCAACGGGGACAGGCCAGCCTTGCACCAAGGATTCTGGTAACCATAGCAACAAGGAGGCAACCATTTCGACGGGAAAATCGAAGAGTGGATCCGCCGAGCGCACGCACGGAGCGCGGGATTTGAAACTCGGCCACGCCCTGAAATCCAAACACAAGACGAAATCCTCCAAGAAGATGAAGCACCCTAAGGGCGTCAAGCCTAAGGAGGAACTGACAGGTTTGCTGAGGAAGACTAAGAAGAGGAGAAAGGATAAGATGCGGTCCAAGAAACGTAAATTATCTTCCTCGCTCGCCAAGGAGAAACGAGACAGCGGTGACAAAAATGTGAAGAAGAGACATAAAAAGAAGCATCGACGTCGCCACCGTGCTTCGTCTGAACACGCGGAGGAAGGTTTACTCAAGAAACATCGATCAGTCAAAGGAGAAAAGAAGAAAGCACGTAAGAAGAAGAAGCCACACCCACTCACAACAATCAAGGTTGATTCCACAGTCTGGGACTTCCACGATAGTGATTCCAACTCGGGCATTTCCGTCAAGACTTCGACCGACAAGAAACTCAAATCTCCGGTCAAGCTTCCTTCTGAGAAACCTCTCGCTGTCTTGCACATCTCGGATAAATCTCTGGGTGCTCTGACGGCCATGGACAAGTCAACAATCTCGCCCAAAAATAGCGCGGCCTCGGATGACCCGAAACCTAGGAATAACACCACCGTGACTATTCCCGAACGGGCATCGAAAAGTCCAACCGCTGGATTGCATTCCCCGAAGAAATCGGCCTCAGCAGAAAAATTACCGAACGTGAGAATTTCCGAGGGTGAGGGTAATAGGATTTCCATAATACTGTCCACCTCTGCCCTGTCACCGAATTCTGCCAGACTACATTCGACTACAAGCCCCGGCCGTTCGCCCAACTCCGAGAAATCGCCCAAATCGGAAAGACAGCCAACGGCCGCAAAAAAACCTGCTGGTAGTAAAGCACAACCAGAAAAACCGCCAAGTAGCTCAGAGAAATCACCCCCGTGCGACGGGCAAGCCGATTCTGATAAACAGCCCAATCCAGAACGATCGCCCAATCTGGAAAGATCGCCCAACTCCGAAAAATCGCCATCATCTATAAGGCTGGCTGCTTCTGCTTCAGTGCCCACATCAGAAAGACCGCCAAATCCTACAACCCCTCCCACTCCTGAAACTCCTCCCACACCTGTAACTCCTCCCACACCTGAAACTCCTCCCACACCTGAAAGTCCCGCCTCTCCCAAATCTCCAGTTACACCAACAAGCCCGCCTACATTAGAAAAAGCCACCACTTGCCAAAGATTAACCACATCCGTACCAGAAAAGCAAGTAATATCTGAGAAAACTGTATTAAACCAGAGATCTTCAACAAAGGAGAAGTCTTTAACTGATCGACCGCCAACATCTGAAAGACCGCCCATGAAAGTAAGGCCGCCTTTAACTGACGCCCCGCCCCTATCCGAGAAAACGTCTTTATCTGCGGGACAGAATATTTTCCCTAAGCTGCACTTCTCCAGCAAACAAATTTGCGTCAAGAAAACCAACATTTCTGGGAAAATTTCGACGGAATTGGATCGCATGTCCTGTCCCAAAAAGTCACAGACTATCGACAAACCCAACTGCGTGTCGCCGCCCAAATCAGCGGACAGATCGCCGCCCAAATCGCCCACAGCTAAAAAACCGCCCACTTCGCAGCGGCCAATCAGCAATGGCGGTTCACAATCTACGCCAAAACAACCAATCACAACCAAGACTGTCAGCTACCCCGAAAGACCGTCCAATGGCAAATCAATCGCCAACCATGGGCAACAGGCCAATTCCATAAAATCTCCCAATTCCGTAAGAGTGCCCAACTCCGGAAAACCGCCCAGCTCCGTAAAACCGCCCAGCTCCGTAAAACCTCCGTCTGCAGGTAACTTGCCAGTATCTGGGAAACCCGCCAGCTCAGAAAGGTCATCGACCTCAGGAGTTCCCATCAAGAAACTTTCAATCACTTCAAAACCGCCCTCTCTATTGGTCAGGCTTCCTATCACCAATAAGCACTCATCGGCTGAGAAACCTCCCTCCTCCACGAAATCACCAACAGCCACGCCCAGTTCTCCCCATAGCGACCGCCTACCTGCATCAGAACGAACAACGCCCACAGACAAGACCGCATCACTGAAGTCGCCCAATTGGGATAAAGCGCCCAATCTCAAACGGGTACACAACGGTGACAAACCGGCCATAACAGATCGATCGATGAACTCGGTCAGGAAAACGAACTCGGACGGTTTGCAGATTCCTAAACGGGCGCCCATTCGTACTAATTTACTCCACACTGAGGCTCAGCCCGGACCAGGTCGACATCCAAGTACACCGTCCCCAGGGCCTCCGAAGACAACCCCATCAAAGAGTCTTCACAAGAAGACGATTCCCCAATCAACTCCCACCCCACCACCCCCAGCTCATGACCCCAATGTACCCCTCGATCTCAGCATCAATCGTACTTCACACCAAACTACCGTAGCTAACACCCACGTCACCAAAACATCAGACGTGACGAGACGACCCAAGTCTTACCCTTCCCCGCCCCCTGCCCATCGATTCTGGAGCCCCGCCCACCCGCACAATCTCGATTACATCGTGGTGACTGACGTCACGGCGCGGGATTTCACCATTACAGTCAGGGAGAGTTACACTCCAGAAGGATTTTTCCAGAGCTGCGCGTGATGGATTTAGCCCTGGGGACGTGTCACGTGGCGTCTGTCTCCAACCTGAACAGCCACACTGTAATTTCATTTATATCTCAGCGAGCAGGGAACGAGTGTTGTTGAAGAAAACACAAACCAAATCCTTCTCACCCTGAATGCATAAGACAGGGCTGGATACCCCTGTGCGTACGTTGACCTGGATATCAAAAAAAAATCACTTAAATGCATTGGATGCATGAATCAGGTTTGATATTCCATCAGTTCGCATAATCAGGGTGATTTCGGCTAAGAGCACTACTAATCCTTGTCACCGTGAAACAATGCTGATCACAACCGTGAAGTACCGGAGCAAAATGATATTAAATGTAAACAAATGAAGCTTTGGCCGCGTGATTATAGGACACGCAGTCTTTGAACTTGTAATATTATAATGATGTGAACGATATGTCTTTACGCTACCCCCTGTGTAATGTCACTCGTCGTACCGCTATACGCGCCTAGTTCTTGTTTATGCGCTGATAACGTACGGCGAGGGGTATATTTTTATGCACCATTTTTTAAGGTCTTGTAAAAGCCGTTAGCAGCGGCCGGTTATGTGAAAAGAGTTTTATATATCGCGCCATGAAATTGCTTGTTTGTACGTTATGATGTTTATTTGTCTATTTCGCGGCATGGCTCAAACCGTGATTCAAGAGTATTTTGGTCGAATTTATTTGTATGTGTGTTTTTCTTGTTTTATCGGCGCGGGAAATGTGACATAGGCCGAAAATCTGGCGGGAATGCAAAAAAAATATGCGCATTGTGTTTTGGCGCCGTAGGCAAACCACTGTATTTTGTTGGACAGGTCTGCGTGGTCTACGTTGAACGAGTCAAGTATACTCAATGCTAAACATACTGCCATTATAATGTACAGTGAATCAATAGCAAGTGGATAAACAGGGATGTCACGTGTCTTTGTTTTGCATTGTCAATTCGAGCAAGCGGCCCCGCTATTTTCACTGTTGCATTTTATATATTACTGTACGTATATATTAGTATTTATTGGTTGTACAGAAATTTTACTCATTGAACGTCATAGACATCAGAACATTTTGTTTATATGTATGACATGGATATAGTGAACTATTGACCGTTGTTGATTGTGTAGTGTAACATACTCGAGCATAGAGTTGTTATTTGCTAAATATATTCACTGGAGGTAAATGGGCGGATCCAAGGAAGGAGGGGAATAGTTTAAAAATAGCTTCATTTTGGATTAGATAATGATTTGGTTTCCTTTGAAAAACACATTCAAATCGAAGAGAGGCGGGAAGGGGCGGGGTTTTTCCTTGAAAAAGTAGGCGTAGATTTCCGGATATGTTGGTATTTCCTTATCACGGCTGTTCGTCCCTACATGGGGAGGAAGGACACGCCCCTCCATCCTGGATTCGCTAGTAGGAAGTGATCTGTTTAGATCAATCGATTGATCAGGTATTAGCAATTGGTTAATCAGTAATTGGAAAGGTAAAAAGATAATGACGGCCTGCATATAAATATTCGCACAGTTACACCGTTCTCTGTATTTAAAATGTGGTAGATTTTACATACAACTTTTTGTTATTTGGTGTTTTGTATTCGTGGAAAAGCAGGCTAACTAACGGCTCTGTTATTTGATAAAACTTGTAAGATATTACACTGGCAATGTGATTTACATCCAGACTTGTAAATGCTTGGTTTTTGGAGATGTTTGTTCGCACACCGTACCTCTTGTTTTATAAGTAGAACACTCTCGTTAAAAGCTGTGTATTTATGTATGTAGCCGAAGGGGTTTGGATGATGCTTGTAATGTTGTATATATACCCGTGTGAACCGCCCAGGATTGGACCGGGAGATACCGACACTGCTCGGCCGGGAAAAGCCGCGAGCGCACGGGGTCAAAAGGGCGAGACTGACACGCTGATACGCTGGCCTTCTGGTAAACCTGCTCCATTGACTCAACCTTGTGTCTACCGAAAGGGAAAACAAATATCACTGCATTATTGTCCTCGGTGCGATCGTACCACTGGCTGAAGTGTGTGGATGTCAGGAGTGACATTGTCTTCATATTCAACCCTTCATGAATATCAGAATTATATATAAATGGATGCATCTATTGCCCCTTATTCATTGGTAATAAGGTTATTATGCTCCGGTGTATACGGGGCACTGATGCATTTTGCACGGCATTTTTATTGTTGACTGTTTTTCGGGCTGTGTAGTGTTCAGTTACTCGCTTGACAAAAAGCCATTGCTATGGAAGCCGAGCTGTGAGCCATACGAACGGATAGCTGCTCAATGGAGGATATGTGACTCGCTGAATGAAATTCCAGCAAGACGGCTGTAGCAGTGCCAAACAGCACAGACAGGCTGCGAAGGCTCTCATTTTTGTTCGAGCTTGCCGCCATGTTTTTTTCCGTATTGTTCCGTATTGCAAACCCTTTGAAAAAAGAGCTTTTCAACCGCGGTTATTTGATAAATATTTATTGGGTCAGGGTCGAGAGCAGGGACGAGAGCAGATTCCTTCGTTTATTATAGGCACCAATGAAAATATCACTTATTTCCGTACATATTTGGTTTTAGGATCCGTTTTTCCGTTGGTAATATCGTTTTGCCTGTTAGTTTTTGACCTTTGGCACCAGGAAGGACTCTAGATCGGAAACCGGAGCTGTCAGACCAATTAGCGGGGTGTAAAGAAGTCCCAGTCATTCATGGCGACGGAGGGAGAAGGGTAAAGGGTGCCAGACTCCAAGACACGAGCGCGAGGAGAAAGAAGCTGTCCAAGACGGTTCAATCAATTCAATGGACTATATTCAGCAGGCTTCGTCTTGTTTCCCATGATCATAGTTGAATTCGCGATGGAGTATTGTCGTTATACCATAGGCACCAGACTTATCCAGGAAACCAAAATGGCGGCTGAATGTGATTGCTTTATTGGAATCAATGTATAATTCTGAATTTCCATACTTGAAGTTGATTTACAAATCATTCAAAGTTACAGATTATGAAACAAAAATATGTTTTTTTATGTTGATATCTATAAAAATAGGAACACAAGACTAAAAAGTGCACCGCACTGTCTATTTGGTTCTTCCACTCCGCAGGCACCAAATGTTATAAGTAGAACACGTTGTGCTCAAAATAATCTTGATTGTAGAAAAAAAACAATTGAAGCTACTAGATAACATTAGACAGGTCGTGTTATCGACACCTGTGGATATATTATAATGTAGCACGTTTAACAACGCACATAGTCAAGAAATATAAAAGTCTTCTACCAAAAAAGCTGCCTTTGTTGATAGTGTTAGTGCAGATGTGCTTTTTGAATATTAATGGTTAGACGTATTTAATCGATGTGCTCCTTCAACAGATACGTGAACGTCCTAGATCACGCGTTCGGCTTAATTCACTGCCTTGTTTTGAAAACGTATATGCATTGTAATTTATAAAGCAAAGTATTGTCAAAGTATTTCAGTATTGTAGATTTTGTACGGAAGCCACTGTTCTCTGTTGATCAATGTTTTATCGATGTTTGTTGCATATACCGTTATTGCATTGTTTGAAAAATAAAGCAAAGATGTTAAGAACAGACAGTTTGTGTAGACACGAGTCCTTTTTGACTTGCCATTTCTCAAACTGAGTATATTCAAAATACGACAGTGCAGTATCCCTCATTGTTAAGTTATTTGTCAATATTGCATTGCATGTTTTTGTCACCAACACGCAAATCGAATAGTCATCGATATACTTTTTGTAAACAATGCACAAAACTAATGTTCAGTCATAATAGCATTATTCAACATGACACCATTCTCTGTTTAAGCGAGGTAAGTTGTGAAGAAAGTGCGTTTTGTCAAGAACCTCTGATGTCCGAGGAAGGTTTTGCAAATCAACCTTTTTTCAGCATACAAGGTGAGTCAAACAAAAAGGAAACCCAAAAGGTGCCCCTATTTTTCAAAGAAGTTCTGCATGTAGCACTTTCCAGATCTAGGATATGAAATCCCAACTAATAAGCTTTCTTTTAGCTAAAGAATCATTCAAATCGTTCATGTACCTTTCCAGTTATGGAATTTTCAACACAAACACCGTTTTTTAACCTTGTCCATGGATCAAAATAAAGAAAAGTGATATTTCAGCAAAACGCAAACTATTCACATATCAAAAAACACATCAGAACACTCATTCTTATTTCTTTTTTCATAAACTGCTACATAAACAAGACAAAATTTGTTTTCGTTTTTGAGAGGCAAGTAGGCCTATAGGCCTATACAACACGGAAAACACAGCAGAATGGCAATGATTTTAAACATATTTTCTCATTTAATAACCAGCAATGTTTTTGTAGGCAATAAAATGCCTTTCGTTATCAAGCTTCCAATCATTTTCCCACAGGAACCGCCTCGAACTTGAATAAGAACTGTTTCCCAGTTTTTTCCGGCACAACAGTGTTTGCCATCACGAGATAAGCTTCTTGTGTCCTGATACGGCGCAGTATATTATCTCAGAACTGAACACGGTGAAGATATACGAGAACAAAATGGGTTTGCAGTGGCGTCGCCAAGGGGGGGCCCCCCTGGAAAACCTAGTGCCCCCCCCCCCCCGAGAGCCCCCCCCCCATCAAATGCTGGTGCCCCCCCCCCCCCCCCATCCTCTGCAAAATTCTGCGCGTTGTTAAAATCATTACCTCAAAAATAGCAATTTCTGGAGATATCTTCAGATCGAATTTAGCATCAAATGTGGCACCATTTTGCATCTAGCCCATCCTCCGTATGCGAAAACTTTCCAAAGGGGAGGGGGTTACCCCCTCCCCTTAGACCCCTCCCCAGGACGGCGAACCGTATCCACCTAAGTGCCCCCCCCCCCATCAAATGCTGGTGCCCCCCCCCCCTGTGCCCCCCCCCCCCCCCCCCCCCCCCCAGACTGAAAAGTCTGGTGACGCCACTGTGGGTTTGGCAGTGTGCATTAATTCTACCAGCCTTGCAGCTGACTGGGTCTGGGCCAACATAATTATAGCTGTATTAGAATGACCGTATCTAATTGTGATACTTATTTCGACACACGAAAATGAAAAGCAAGGAAACTCACAATTCGTGAAAATATCTTATCGTTCTAAATGAACCAAAAAAATACATCGGAGGTGTTTTGGCGATGACTAGACGCGTTAGATCCGCCGTTACCATAGCGACTCTGTCGTCGTTAATCGGGTCATATTAAGTTTCCACCTCGGCACATATGATATTGGACTTTGCGAAGTTCAAATCATACAGCTCAACTCTTGAAAATGAATCAGTATTAAACGGTCCCACTTTTTCTCAGACGGAAAAATGCTTTGATACATCACGTGTGGTTGATTAAATTAGCCTACTTAATTGCCTATATTGGACAAAAGTCTGTTCTGAAAGGCACGTATAGGAACATTGGCAATTACCCAAAATGGTACCTGACTACCTATAAATCCTTGCTCAAAGTCAAGATAGGACTGGTACCAAGCACCCCGTGAAATAATTCTCCCTGAAATGATATCATTCAGAAGAAAATAATGATTAAAGGTGGTTATAAAAATGTGTGCTAGTGGGCAGTTTTTACGTGCGCTAGCAACGGAATCAGAGACCCCAAAATTGTGCATTATGTTTTCTCTGTTTTCGCAAAATGTATAATATCCACTGAGCTGAAACTTCAACAAGTTATTTGTTGTTTTCATAAGATTTTTTAGCAATCCTGTTGCTTCAAACGAAAAAAAGATGCACAAAAATCTAACGATCCTATTTATAATGAAGAGGAAAAAACGCACAGTGCTTATCTCTTTCAAAACCGGTGTTGTGATAAAATTTGGACTCCTATGAAAATACGGACTCATGGACTGCATCGCGTATGGCTCAGCGAACAGAACAATAAAAGCTCAATGACGCTTGCGAAGCTGAGAGTCCATACAAGGTCAAAAGGACTGGATTTCATAGGAGTCGAAATTACATGTGACACGGGTAATTCTGAGGAAATCTTAGACCTATACAAGGGTCGGCAATAAGTAACACTATACAGTTCGCACTATACAGGGTGAGTAAAAAAAAAACCAAATGGTACCCCTATTTTTAAAGAAGTTATGAATGTATCGCTTTCTTTTAGAGAAAGAATCATTCAAATCGCTCATGTACTTTTCCAGTTATGGAATTTTGAACACAAACATCGTTTTTTAAACTTTTCCACGGGTCACGTTAGAGGTACGTCATAATTCAGTGAAAATGAAACCATGTCGTATCCTGAAAATTATATCAGAATAATCCCATAAGTCTCCAGGGTAGCCAAGTAGAAGGCAGGGCAAGACTATAAACTCTTGACATTATAAAGCATGTTATTTTAACATTAGAAGCAGCAGGTTTTTAAATAAATGTTATGATAAGTGCCAGTTATCATGGTTATGAGAGTGCGTTTATTATCTGTGTTAGCATTTACGAATGTGACACACACCGATCAGCTTTGTTTATGCTCGCATAACAAATATCGGCGTTTCCCATTCGTTTCAAATTGGTAGCAAATGCACCCGAATTGAATTCATTTGATAATCAGAAAGAATTAATAAATACACGTATACGTTTCAAACGAGTCCTTTTTTGTGATGCACATTATGAAAGAAACTATACAGGTTTACAGCAAAACGGGATTTTTGTTGCGACCAAAAAAACCCCGACAAATGAATATTTTTCCCAAAGAGATTCTCTTTTCTTTTCGTCTATAAGGTTGCCGGTGTGAATAATAATCCTTCAATTTTCCGCCACACATGTAAATTTATTGACATTTAATACCTTGGATCGGCGTCGCAACTTACAATTCTGCTCAAAAGGTTATTGTCATTTAACATTGTATGTATAGCATATATAAAATAATTATTATTGTTGACTTTGGGTTTCGGAAATGCTTTCTTTCCGTCGAGCGCTTAATTCCAGTCATGGAGCCTCAAATGTCAAAGGCTTAAAGGGACTTCTCGGTCCGTAGCTTAACCGCGTGAAAAAAACATTTCATAATTATGCAAAGATATTCTGGCGCTGATCTGGACTGATTTGTCCATGTTTAAAAATTAGATTTTGAGGAATTTATTGAAAAGGAAACGGGAAGTACTTCAGGGTAAATCCCTCAACCAATAGGGGTTCAAATTGTGGGGGAGAATTTTCGTTCCATCGACTGTGACGGCTCTTATCTGTGAATGCTCCTCTAAAAAAAAAATGCTCCAAATATTTCGAAAATTTGTCAGAACTTTGTGACTTTTAAAAATAATTTTAAAAATATCAATTTCAAAATCTGATTATCTATGAATTTGAGCTCCAATATTCCCTACAGCCTCATCCAAACAGGTATCCTCTTTTTTTTCAGGTGTCCAGTTAATCTGTGATTTTATAAGATACAACCTTGCACTTGAGTTGAGGTTGAAATGGAACAGATTACGAATTGTTTTGTTCCTCTGTACTTCATGGTTATTCTAGGCTGAAACGAATTAGGCCTACACGCGCGTGCCACACTTGCCGTTGTCTTATTTACGAAGGTTCTATACTATTTCTTTTCCTAAATCACATCCAACTAGTATCAAATTATACTATATTTTGTCATATTTCCGTTATTTGTCAGTATTGCAGAAGAAAATATTCAGATTTGATGTAAAAGAGTGGATCTAATTGCGTAAATTAATCTTTCGCTTTTATTCACCAATTTTAAATCGAAGAGCAGGACTTCTTTCGTCATTAAAGGGAATAAAGATGGTTTCAATTCCTTATTTTCCTGTTTTTCTTGTAGGATTTTGACGAAGAAAAGAGTTGAGAGATCTTGGAATCTCGGGCGCAATTTATAGGATGGATTAACCTTTATGTTAGCATATCTTTGAATGGTCTCTCTAATCCGCGATACGCGTCGAATCCGCTTATTATGTCTCGTCGGAAGACGCACTAATCCGATATTTCCACATCATGATAATCGGCTATGTTCAAATAAGTTGTTTAGAAAATCCGTACATGACTCGTGTATAATGAGGCAGATATCGTGTAAAGGTGCGGACAATAGTCGTAAAACTGCAGCGGAAGTTACAACGGCACCGAAAATAAGTATTTTTTTTTCTTCATAAGATGGAATTTTTGCGTCGGGGTGATGTAAAGTAATTTTTTAATAAGAAGTGATCAGACAGACCGTTTGCCATTTCCCATGGTCCCTGGTGGCTATATGAAAAGGATTTTTGGCTTCTGACTAGCGCCCCTTGAACCAAGATATTGACAAACTTAGGCCCCGCCGATACAGGGCAGGATAAGTTGGTTGAGCACCGGAACGATATTCCGGTCCAGTCAATTCCTTTGTGCACTTTTATAATTGTTAATCTACAGAAAGAATAAAAAACCCACAAAACCTGCAACAAGAACTCGTGCGAATGAAAAAACAACAACAATGACAGCAACAACGAGCAGGCAAAATTAACAACAGAAAGATGAGTCAAAGAAATATCAGCAACAAAGCAAAAAAGGCAAGAACTCAACAGGATTATGGGCGGCAAGACTACAAACTTAATGTCTGGAGTATCATAGAATCCCAGTTATAAGCTCAGTACCTTTATCAAAAT